ATTTGATATACATGAGATTTTCATGGTCTTATCTGCACTTGATGTACAGCAAGATAATGCATGTTTGGTGCATCTTGCATGCAATACACCTTGTCCACCAACACACAGTCCATGCAGGAAATCCTATGTGTGAGCATGGTGTCATATGGTTGTGACAGTGTGAGGCGGATTTAACCTGTCTACCGCCAGCATCTGAGGAGTCAGCAAGAATGCAAGGGCCCACTCAATGCTGCTTGCAGCTTCAAGTTATTTTTAATATTTAGATTTTTTAAAATTATGTAAACAGAAATGCAAACTGTTCCCACAGTCACACCTTCCCACCCACCTTTCCCACTCTTGCAAATGATCTTGCATCCAAAGAATAACAAAAATAATAAGAAATAATAAAAAGCTAAACCAGAGGTGTATGTACCGTACATAAAGAACATATTGCATTTACACCTATGTACAGACAGGTGACAAATCAATGAAAATGATGTATATTTACCTATTATTCCCATTCAAAAATAGTAAATACTGTAGCTCATACCTGTTGTTTGTAATAGTGACAATGAAATGACCATAAAATAGTGAAAAAACAATATTAGAAAACAAAGACATTCAAACAAAAACCATGAGTATACAATAATGTTAGTTGAGTTCTGAGCTGATGGTTCAATCACAGTCATTAATTTACATCACAAAGTTACTTCTTTGCAAATAGGCCCTACCTCACATCAAAGCATTGGGAAAAAAATGTAAATAAAATTTCTTATCAAGGTGTTAGTTCAGTACTAAGCTTACTTTGTTTTTATCTCTAGTATCAGATAACGCTTTAGAATTACATATACATATTATTAAATTTTTCATTTGTCCTCAGCTCACTACTAAGATCATTTCTCAAATGGAAGTACTAAAAGGCTTTGGCATAGAGTCAGTGGAAACAAAAGAGAAAAAGGACAAATCTTTTCATTACTTTACATGTCTGTTAGTGAAAAAGAAAAAATAAGAACATGGCTGGTGCCTCTGGGCTATGAGAATCCAGGTTGCAAACCAGCTCAGCAAAGCACCCCAGATACAAGTACCTGTCTGTGACACTGCTAGTTCCACAGCCCAAACAGTCAATACACGTGGCTATTTCACTAGGTATCTCAGTAGTAACAGTCAGTAGGAAAAAGAAGAAACTGAATAAAAGAAAGTGGATATCTGGTTAGCACCGCTAGTCCAACAAGCATTTGATGGAGATTAACAAAAAGTGCCTTATAGTCAATATCTGGAATGATGGATTATAAATAGTCCTTAACCTCATAAGCCGAGGAAAATATTTTCCAGCAGAATCTCTGTCATCTCCTCTTAGTATTACCTCTGGACTGTAATGATAATAATGGTAATAATAATAATGATTATTATTATTATTATAGTTTATTTGTATATCACTTTTCAATAGAAATAACAAAGTGCTTCACATGAAACCAATAGCAACATTAAACAAATCGAAGTGAAACACAAATGAATGAAATTAAAGACATCACACAATAAAAGCTTTTTCATGATAGTGTGTCTTAAGAAGTGAGATAAAACGGGGAACTGAATCTGCAAGGCTGATCTCCTCTATTAGGTTGTTCCAAAGTTTAGGGGCCCTAATGGCAAAGGCCCAGTCTCCTGTAGGACTCTGTAGTCCTCGTTGTGTCTCAAGTGTTGGTATAATTGTCTTAAAGTCAGTAGAAAGTGCTTTTCGATGGGTCTCTAAGAAGCTGGCTGTGGATGCCATGCTGACTTCATTGATAGCTTCACCAGGAGAATTGGCGCTGTGCTCTTTTTTGTTTTGTCTGGTTGATTATGTAACCAGTGTGTGATTTTTACACTCAATATTGACTGTGTTGTGTTCTGAGGAGTGGAATGAAGAGTCAAAAACCTGCTCAACGTCAGTTATTAAAGAAACAAAGGTAAGCAGCTTTGGACCCCACTGTATGTCTACTTTGTCTTTGTCATTTTTTCACCAAACCACAAAACAGCCCGTTTGGGACTAATTTTCTTTTTCTTTTTTTTATGTTTTTTTTGGTGTGTGTGTGTGTGTGTGTGTGTGTCTGTGGGTAGAGGATAATGTAGTTGAATCAAATACTGTTTGCTGCATCAGTGTTGTGAGTTCACATCACTTCCTGTGGGCATGAGACAGAAATGGACAGACAGAGAACAGTTTATCTGTGCCTGGATGTTGACTAGCTGTCTGTCTCACTCTGTGTCTGTTAACTCTCTGTTTATCTGGACTGACAGCTCTGACAGTGCTGCTGTCACACACACACACACACACACACACACACACACAAGGTGGAGAAATACATATACAAGACTAAAAAAAGTTTTGAAGGTCTTTCTTTTTATACAGTTTGCTGTTTTAGAGAATTAACTTCAAATTGAATTATTGGATTTTTATTAATCAATTGTCAATACTTTACCAATACATTTTTGGTGTGTGTGTTGACAGGACACAAGGGAAAAAAGAGGAGGGTATGGCATGCAACACAGGAATAGGCTGAAGTAGGACAGAGGAGGTTGTGTTTATGTGGCGTGTGCTGTAAGCTACCTCCTAATATTTGTAAAGTATGTATAGCCATGGTTACGTGAAAAAATAGTTTAACTTACTATTAAACCTAGTGTGTCCCTCCCATGTTTCAAATGTTAGATATTTAACCAAGACCACCATATTTCCTCAACTTTAATGAAGTGCTTTGAATTTCCTAAACACAACGATGAAAACGATCAAAAAGCTTCAGGTGGCACGAGCAGATACTGTAAGAAAATATTTTATATGTTCTGTATAAACACTTTGTGTTAGTGGCAAGCAGTTTGAAGATACAGTATGTTCAGTATAACCAGTACAGTGCAATGTTTCTTACAAAACCTATTTGATAAAGTTAGCTTGGACCTTGAATTATTATCACGTTCCATTTCCTTGATTTTTCCTTTATCGGCAGATCGAGTTTTTGTGTTGTCATGGAGCTGGTTCAGGTGTCATCCTGTAACCTTTAAGATGAGCTCAATAAACTTCAATCACATGATAACAGGTGGAGGTATATAAAAATGGTCTCAGTGTGATGGTGTCAGATGCGAATATCCTCCTTGATCTTTCTCTGGCTGCTCACTGACTCCTGGTTAATGACCTTTGACCCTCCCAGTGGAAGGTATAAGTGGTTTTGGTTTCCTTGTCTTTAAGAGAGAAAAAAATCTCTGAGTGGTTTGTGTTGATGAGATGTTCTGACAATCCACACATATAAGTGACTCCCTCTGAGACGTGTACATTTTAATGTAATTTTAATATTATATTGGATAAAAAAAGATCAACTTCAAAGATAAGCTTCATTAACAGGGGAAATTAGCACATTATTTGTGCTTCTAATCAGAGTTTGGAACCCTATAAAAAGTATTTCAGTTGTTAAGTTCACTCCTGTAATATCCTGTACTCGTGCAGATTGTGCACATCCTGATTTAACTATGTGTGTGTAAGCTTGCAGTCCACTTTGTTCCATGACTAATAGTGTAATTAAGGCCTGTTGACGTGCATCAAGCAGAAGCCTTTGAGGTTACACTGAAACTCACATGTAGAACTGAGCAGCCATCTTCAACATCAAAAAGAACAAATGGTCATCATGGAGGAAAACATCATCCCTCTGTCTGTTTTCTTCTTCTTATTTCTGTCATTTACAGTACATTCTCATTTCAGCTGAGGCAAAATTCAGTATTATTGTTATGTCTTTGTCAAAACTGATGTGGGACCCCACAGCAGAGACAAAACACAAAACACACCAGCAATAACTATACAAGGGAATTTATTGGGGCAAAGGCAATGGTGATGGTGAATGTGGAGGGAGAGTGGGAGTGGGTCCGAGGAATCCGGGTGGCTGGTGAGAACACTAGGCAGGAGTATGGGGAACACTGGAAGCCAAAGGCAGGTTAGTAACACATTCTGGAAACACGAGGGACAGCTGGAGATCCAAAAGCAGGTAGATGGCATGGCGTCAGCTGAATGGGGCAAGATCAGCAGCCTACAAACTAGGAATTTTTCTGGAGCACAGGAGAATGAAAGTTACTACAGACAAAATCACTGGGAATATCACAATATAACTCCATAGTCACAAAAACTAATCAGAGCAGCCGAGAGCATAACTACCACTGTGAAGAGCGGAACAATCTGGTGATGAATGGATGGATGACCAGGGTAGATATACTGCAAATGAGCTGCTGTCCAGACCACGCCTCCGCTGAGTCACCTAATGTAAGGGGAAACACACAGACACAGACACAGACGCAGACACAGACGCAGACACACACACACACACACACACACACACACACACACACACACACACACGGGGGAAGGGGAGACAAACAGGAGAAGGAAAAAACAGGAAGACATAGTGGGACTGTGAAAATCTTGTTTGAATTCCTTTTAATCACTGTATTCATTAGTACAGGTGAGAGATAATGGAATATGTATTTAGTTTTGTTTTCGTCTTTTCCTTCCTTTTCTTATCTCTCCCTCTTCATCATTCCTTTTTCCTCCTGTCCTTCCTACCTTGTACAAATTTAATATGCTCTCATTGTCTTTCTTTTTGTGTCTCTTCAATATAAAAAGAGACAGAGACTTGGTTCACCTTAGCACACAATGACAGTAATGTCATGACAGTAGTTCAACAATATCAGTGATACAGAGATAACTTTGTGTGACATTTAAACTCACATTGTCTCATACATGTTTGATGATATTGTGCCACATCCAAAGACATTTAGCTGAATGAATCTGAATGAAGTTTGCTGAAGACATACAGTAGACCACATGTGCATCTAGACAGACAAATACAAGATCTCACTTACAAAAAGATAGAAAATCTTTATTGTGCCTTTTGTCATGCCAGAAGACATGTAGTCAGTCAGAATCATTTACATGGCCTTTACATAATAATACATGACTTAACCACTAAAGAGACAACTTGTCTGTTTGTATATCTCAATTCCCTTGGCAGGATGTTGAGATACGGACCAATGCAGCTCTTTACTTGCCCCAGATCAGCGACCTCTTGAACCGAGTGCCCCGTCAGATGCTGCTGCTGCTGAAGACCAACGACCTGCTGCGGGGCATTGAGACCACCTTACAGACCAGAGCTTCGTCTTCGTCCTTCATCAACATGTCCCGCTGCTGCATACGCGCCATGGCCAGGTCAGAAAAACTAGCCTTTCCTTAAACTTCATAAGACATGTTGTTCATTTGTTCACAGCCACATTTAAAAGGGAGTGTCAGGAAAATATAACCGATGTTTCTGTAACAATTTGAGGAAGTACAAGGTCCATTCTGCACTAATTGACTCAAATATGATAAACCCATCATGCAAATTGAGGTGGTTTGGCCAGATTACGAGTGTTGCTCTGAATTCACACAGGAGGTGACACTGATATGGTGTGAGGTGAACCACATTTTCAGTCTGTTTGCCAGCTGGCATTTTTGGTATGAAGCCTTGTAGAAGGTAGATGAACTTTTCAATACTTATATAACTTTTAATTTTGATTGGAGTCTGCATATTGATCATTTAGGAGGCTAATTAGTTAGTGATGAGTGTATCCAGGAAAATGAACATGCGTAACAGACCACTTTTACATGTTTTCTTTTTCCCAATGAAAGCCACACATAAAAACTGAAAATGTAGGTCAATTATTTTTGTATTATACTGTGGCCAACAACACTGTGATGCTTCTACCTATTTGACCTGTCTTTACATTCTGTTGTTTAGAATTTAGACATTTCTGACTTGGGCACCCTGTTAGTTGCATCAGAGGACACTGTGACAGACAGGAATACAGTCAGTAGTTTTCTCTCAACATAGTTTTAATTCTGGAACAGTTATAGAGACATTTCATTTTGTTCCAGCAGACAAGATGAAGACTTAACTCACACGTGACTCCTAAAGGATCTGTGAATTATATTATTCAGTGTGTGAATCTTATACATACTGTACATACATAGTGTCAGAACTAAAGACAGACCAAGCTGACAAGTAAGTCACTTTGGAAGAGAAACTGAGGTTTGCCACTGTAGGTTTGGAGAGGAGGGATGTGAGTTGTCACTTCAGATCACAGCTGAAGGCGGAAGGATGGGGCTCTGAAGGTCTCTAGCCTGGTGCTGTACTGCTGACAGTGTTGGAGCTAGTCTGAATGAGGATATCTTATAAAATATTAATCAACTACAATGCCAGGAGTAGTAATGTAATACAGGCACAGGGGGACTCCAGTGTTGTGTTTCACATTGTGTACATGTGCTGTCAGCAACCAAAACTAGCCCCTCTCAGGCATGGAGCTCCTTTTCTGTTTGTCCCTGATATTTCTAAATGCAAGACCAAGTAGATCAAGATGAATATCTTCCTGGCAGCCAGGGTCTGATTGTGTGGAGGTTGCGTGTTCTCTCAGTGTTTGCATGGGTTCCCTCCTGAAAAGAGATATGCAGGTGGAGCACATGCAGCTGTCTCTTTTGTCATCAAATGAACCATGTACACTATGGGACTTCTAGAAGTTGAGAGTGGCTAAACTATAGCTACATTAGCTGATGAAGAATTTTTACATATGCTGTTACACAGGTGAGGACACTGATAGGACTCATTAATGGCCCCACCAGGCTGCAGTGGGTCATTACACCCTACAGTGGAAAAATGTTATGCCATTCTTAGGGCTCTCTTTTAACAGTCTAAGGTGCAAGTGGATTTACGGTGTGTCCATATTCACTTTTGCTATTTTAACAGCAGAAAAAAACAGTTGCTGTTCCAGGCACATGGTTCAAAAGGGTTGTACTTAGTCTCTTCATTAATCATGGAAGTGTTTTGGGTGAAACATGCAATAAACCAATCATAGTGCATCTCCCATTCACAGCTGTGCTTTCTCATTTGTGGATTGTTGTTATAATGGCGCAGTGTTTCACACAGAACTGGATTATATTTGTGGCGAGTTGATCACATGTTGTCACTGACCAGTAAGTCCAGTTCTGCTCATATTCAGTCATGAAGTATTAGGTAAAGAAAAATTTGACTTGATTCACTAGATGAAAAGTCAGGGGATCACCAAAGTTATTACAATTCATCCTGAGATGGACATTAACATTTGAACCAAACTGGATTTTTCACTGTAAACCGAAATGTCAGCCAGTTGGTGGTACTAGAGGAAAAGTCAAAGGATAAACAAAATCAGAGGGCCTCATCATCTTGGCACTTGTGGTGTGTGATTCTACTGATTGCCTTTCCCCTCCAATACCAAGTAAACCCCAGGTAGGTCTCACTGATACCGAACGATACTGATACTTCATAGATACTTCATCAACACACAAACTGAAGCCTGGACAGACGATCAGTAACTGTGATAGCTACTCTCTCTCTCTCTGGACATTTTTGGGGGCAGGTGCTCAAGCGGAAAAAAGGGCATCCTTGCCATAATTATTTAATAAAGTTATTTACATATGTATTAATTATTAATTTCAATATAATACATTTGCAAATGTTTAAAGCTCAACAGATTTCAACAAAATTATCAATGTACACAGAGACAATGCTCTCTAGCATTGACTATTTCTACATTTATCACAAGAACAGGCAACAACAAAGAAAACAGTGCCACACTGTACATGCTTTGGGGCATTTTCACGTGTATAGTTTCTTTGCTTATTGTCTATAAAATAATGATTTAATATCAACTAATCTTTACACAAAACTGAAAAATATCTATAAATAAATAAAATAACAAACCAACCAATCGATCCTCCAAACTACAATGTAGGCCTATGTCCAGTTGCAACAAATAGGAAAAGTGTGTTCTGTGTACTTAGGTGAAAAGAGCATTATGCCACTATTGGTAAATGAGCAAAATCAATTTTGTGCATGATAATTAAGGGTTAAGCTCCCAAAAATACCAACAGTAGGATATGATGTTTATGATTGATGCATTACAACTGTCAGCCTCATCAGACTGTAACTGTTAGTGTCCAACCATACAGCTACTTTTTCTGAAGCAAAATTTTAATGGGCTATTTGTCATATAGCAAAATTCAAATAATATAATAAAATATTAGTAGTAATATTAAGTAGTAGCTCTTCCTGTTCACTGAGCCCTGAGCCTAGTCTGTTAACACTAATAAACTACTTTCATTAAATGTATCCTTATTACTAAAGGAGGCAGAGGAAGAATTAAACATAAGACACAGGTTACAGTAAGTGTTGAGTTTGTATTAACACGTTATGCAGTAAAATTAAAGAGGACCTATTATGGCCATTCTTAGTGTTCATCATTTCATTCTTGGTGTGTACTAACATTGATTTACTTTGCTTTAATGTTCTGAACATCTAGTCACCTTCTGTCTGAAACGCCCCCCCCCCCCGATTGGTCAGCTTGACAGCAACTACCATGGCAACGAAACATTCTGTATGTCTTGTGTAAACAAACGGTTGTGGTGCTTCGGTTCTGTCTTAACGTTTTGAGCAAGAGTCCGATCCTGAATCAGAACATGACAAACCCGATCTGGACTGGAGAAGTAAACAAGCATACCCACTGTCAGGCAGCCGGAGCGAGGGAAGAGGCAGAAATATGGAGAGTGCTGCGAATCAAGACACTGGACAGTCTGCAAAGACTTCGGATGACAATATTCATAACTTGAAGAAACCCTTTTGATTTTTTACGTGTGGACACGAATATAGATAATGAAGGAACAGACAGACAGTCGAGAGGTATGGAGTCTCCACTGCGTCACCTCCTGCTGGTTTACGATGCTGGTAAATCTGAATGAATTAAACTTTTGTGTGCATAGTTTCTGAAAAATGAACTCAGCGGTTAAATTGTGGATAATTTATCCAAGCTCACAAGGTATAGCATATCAATACCGACAAACATTTAAGCATTTATAGCTTTGCTATGCTGCTACTTATTAAGATGATCAGGTCGCCATAACACGGTAAACAACAAAGATCCACAATACCTATGCAGACTGACAGGCTGTGAGGCTGAGTCCCCTGTTCGGCCACATTAAGTGTGAATTACAGAAATAACCGTTGTGAAAATGAAGCATCTAACTGTGCGCGGTTTATGGCGCAGTCCTCCTTGAAGTGCTCACACTATAATGTTTGGAGCAGTTGAGAAACACTGTCTTTTCAGCACGGCTACAACACTAAAGAAAACTCTTCATTATAAGTAGTTATGTGCTGTGCCATGTGTGTGGGCGTGCCAAGCTTGCAGGGGGTGTCCAGCTTGCAGGTGGGCAGCACCAAGAGACATATAAACGTCAATAGGACCAGGAAGTAATGTCTGGACCCCCAACTAGGTGTTTCATAAAAAGGAGAAAATTGGGTTTTTCCCTGACAGAGTTACTCCCTTTGGTGTAAACTTTGATCCTTGTGACTCTGGAGACCATTTACATGCACAAAAACCTATATAACACACTATAAGTAAGGGAAAGTTCAGAAAAGCGTAATAGGTCCCCTTTCTCATGGTCAACGGCAGCAACTGAAAACGAGGCTTCATATTAAAATACAACTCTGACCAACTCTACATGTCAAACAGAGGGAGTTAGACTTAAAGACCTCTTATAAAAGTCTGTTACATTCTGGAGTCTATGTTAAAAAAGACTAAACTATTGTGGATCCAAACGGAGGCTGTGCTCTGTGTGAGAGACTAAATAACAAAGATAGTCTGTCTCTATAACTTTCTCTCTGAGCGACCTTTTGTGTATAGCGTGTGTACAGCTGAACTCACAGCTCAGTGTTTGTCTTTCATTTATGTGTTTGGTGATTTTGTCAGATGGCGCCACAGTTATAAAATCGAGATTTGACTAGAGGTCAAGACATAGTTTGACCTATTCTTGTTGTTAATCTTAATGGAGGCTGTTGCCCGAGTTAAGCTGCTTGTATTTAGATGTTTTGATAGTAGTTTCATTTCATAACAGTGACAAACAATACTGAGGCCTAGGACAAACACAATGTTATCTGGTTATCACCAATGAAGGCAGGTCAGCTGAAGCGGACGCAGCTCCACAGTGCTCTCAGTCTGTGTACGTTAACTGTGGTGGCTGTGATGAGGGAAGCTGAAGAGGGAGGGGCAGAGGCTCGTGTGTCTCAAATGCAGTTGTTGGACATTACAACACGCTTTTAGATGAGAAATGATGCCATGGGCCAAATTTAAAAACTTAAAACTAGAAAAAGAAACTGAAAAAAGATGTCTTGCAAAAAGGGCACTCATCTGGACAGATGCCAAAGAGGCAGGTGCTTGAGCACTACCTGAGGTCTATCTGTGCATGTGCCTGACCTCACAGTCCTCCCACACGCATCACATACAGCACTGTAGCTGTTCTGAGAACTCACACAAGACTACACTTACTGTAGTGGCCAAAAAACCTCCAGATGAGTCTGTCCTTTAACTCCTGTCCTATTTATCTTTTACCAAGGTGGAGTGAGCAGTGTGTCTGACGTGCAGTCACAAAAGATCCAGTGACCAGTGTTGTTCTCAGATGAATGGAATTTATTGTCAAAACATGAAAAACAAAAAATTGAAGCAAAATATGACGTTGCTTATGTGTCCATTGATCTGATGATGCTCCGGTCAATGACAGTATCGCTGCTTCCGGCTGCCAATCCCCCGTCTTACCTCAACCTTCAAAACTTAAAGGTTAAGCCCCGCCCTCCCCACCTGAGGAGGGAGGAGGGCGCACACTTACTGCTACAAATAAAATTCATTGTTTTTAATCAATAATTCATCCTAAATAATCAATATATCCTGTGAATAGAAATAAATTAAATAACCTTAAATGCAGCTCCTACACTTATAGTTACACGTATAGCCATCATTAATGTCAACAACCCTTTATTTAGACCTGCTGTTAGCACTGTAACTTTCTACTGTGTCTTTGTTGATAAAATACACATTTACCCCAAATGACTGAGTTTAGATATAGATCTTTTGATACAAGAATTGATCCTACAACACATGGGATTAGACGTATTGATATGTCAGGATCAATCCACACACCACTGGTACCATGATTGTCTGGTCAGAATCTCAAGAGATATTTCAGACGTTCTGCCTGCTTGGTTAAAAATTCATCCTACCTAACCTTCTCTTTGTTCTTCTGCTGCTTTTCCAGGCACAAGAGGAGTAAGGCTCAGTCCAGGAGGAGGCATCTGCAGATACAGCTGGCGGAATCTCTCAGCCTGTGGAGACTCACCATGTATGAACTGTTTCTGTGGGTGAAGGGCTCCATGTTGGTACATTGGCTCACTGCACTGCTGGCTTTTCTGAACTGAAGCACATCTGGACATCACACTGGAACATTAACAACAGGCTGCAACTGTTGGCTCTCGGGTGTATATACACTGCATGTTAACACATTTTAAATATGTGCCACTCACACATATACACACTGCATGTTCTCCTATCACACATTTGTACTTCTGTCTTTGTGAGGACTATTGACACAGTGCATTCCCTAGGCCCTGGCCCTACCTCTAACCAAAGTCTAACAGCTCTCTGAAGTTGTGAGTTGTTGTCCTCACGCAGTAAGATCTATAACTCAAACTGGTCCTCACAAAGATATAAGATTACAAGTACACACACACACACATACATGAGTGCATACATACAAGGACAGGATGCTGATGTCTTTGAACACCAGGAGCAGCTTGTGGCTGTTGGTAACTTTTTAGGCCTCACGATCACAACAGTGCTGAGATAAACTATTTTCTCATGATTGTGTCATAATTGTATTTAATTTACTCAGGATTCTGTCTTATTCTATTTAATTTAAGAACATTATGAACAGATAATGATTTTTCTCATAACCCTGAGATATTGAACCATTATCTCCGTATTTACTCCATACCAGTGCCAGAAACCTGGTCACACTGACTGTATCTCTGAGATGTGCTATGAAGTCCTGTGTGTATGGATAAATCGTAATGTGTCAAGAAACAGTCCCACCACATAGCTGCCCCTGAAAGCACAAATAGTGTGTTTTACACTATGAATGAAAAACAACATGTTTATTCGTTTATTAGTTTAGCCCCCCCACTCTTGATGTCTTGACTCCAGCTCCACATACAGATAAGATATTGATACCCATCTTCTCAACTCACTTTCAGAAAAAAAGCAGATAAACATACAGACAGGTGACAACTTACAGGAAAACCTGAATACATGAGTGGAGAAACCTAATGAATGCAGGTGCACTGCATGGTACAATTAAGCAATTAATGTCCAATCATGCTCATGTGTATAAAATTGTGAACAGGCCCAGCTGATTCATTTTTTATCACAAAATGAAAAGATCAAAGTGACTTTGAAAGAAGGGGGGGGGGGGGGAAGTGACATGTCAGTTGAGTCATCCTCCATATTCTCGACATCTAGGTCATGTGTGGCGTACACCAAGAGAAAGGTACAGGCCTGAATGCCTAATCTCAGTGGCTCTCTTCTGCTGTGGGGGGCATTTTGCTGGCATGGTTTGGGTTCACTTGTCCCCTTAGAGGGAGGGGTCACTGCAAATCAATACAGAGTTGTGATTACTTTTATCCTATGATGAAACATTTCTGTCCTGATGGGAGGGGTCTCTTCCAGGATGACTATGCTCCCATCCACAGGTCATGAGGGGTCACTGAATGGTTTGAGTATAAAAATGATGTGAATAATTTTGGCCAATGGCAATCACCAGATCACAACCCAGTTGAACACCTGTTGTTACGATTAACTGGTGACCCTAGAGCACAGGGAGACAAGGGTTAGAACGAGCATAGAAATGAGTAAACGAGCTTAGCTTACACAATACTAAGTGGCTTGAGAGCGTGACACCAAACAGAAAACACTGGAAACACAAGGGAAATGGGAATCATTGCATAAACCAACATGTTAGACAGCACTCCTCACCACCATCATCAAACGCATGAGGGAATATCTTTTAGAAGAATGGTGTTCATCCAGAGATTTGTAGAATCAATGCAAGGCTCTTTATGTTGGTTTGTCCTTTGATTTGTCTCTCTTCTGTATTTCTCAAAATGTCGTAGATATTCAAGTATGATATGATGTGGGATGGAACATGTGACACAAGTTTATATTTTCTTATGAAATCAATCATATTATTACTTGAGGTAGCAGACTTTCTAAAACAATGCATGCTCAGTTATCTCACTATCTGTCAGATGAGTTCTTGAGATAATTGAATGATCATACTACATATTGCGGCTTTTTAGTACCTTAAAAGTCGTTTGTGAGGCAGAATAGGTCCTGTATATTTGTGTGACACGCTGCTGCTGTTCCAGAGAAACACACTGAGTCCAGAGAAGTTTCGGAGGTTTTAATGACACAATACTGCAGTGGCTTTACACGCGCCCATATGATGTTAAATGTGTACACTTGGCGAACGTGTATCAAAGCAAACAAAAGAACAAAAGCGATAATGAAAAGCGGTCAACAAAAATTACGGCTACCTAGACTCGCCTCTCTCCCCCAGTGCAGGTGAAGCAGGTTCTGATATAACCTACCGGCTGTCAACGACGGTGCTCATGTGACCCCAAACACTGCATATCCCCATGGCAACAAGACAAAACTAATCACACACAGAATAACCGATCAGAAGCAATATATGGCTCCTACACTACAGATCTAAAACACTTACAGTGAGGCTGTATAATCTGAAACTTAATGCCTTATAAAAGACAGTGAGGCAGCCATGGAGGTTGTACAAAGAAGAGTTACCAACTAGGGCTGGGTACAGATTTACTGAATCGATCGATTCAGTATTCCATTCCGATTCACAAGGTCCCGAGTCGATTCAATTCCCATTTCGATTTGATTCATTTTGTTTTGATTCGTTTCGATTTGATTTTGATTCAGCCAGAAATATTTCAGTTACAACATAAATTTTTCTTGAATATGAATTAGATTCTCAGAGAACTAATGCTGTGAAGTGTACCTCTAACCTGGTGCATTATTGAAAATATTAATGTTTACATTGCCAGTGGACACAAAGCAGTTAGATTAATGAATGTTCTATTTAACATGACCAACAGTTTAAACACATCTCAAGAAATAATACATGTAGTATGCGATGTTACACACAGCTTCTTCTTGTACACCTCAAATATAGCTTGGCTTTTGTCCAGTTCGTAACTGTCTGCATAGTTTTTTAATCTGAAATTCAGCCACACATCTGCCTTTAGAATTGCCGCTGACTTCACTGGGACCTCGTCTTTCATGTTTTTGTCTCTCCCGTGCAGAGGTGTAGTGCTGTTTGTTTACGTACCAGAGCTCATATGGTGAACGCGTATGGTTGAGTTGCAGCTCTTTTCAAAGGTTATGTAACCTCTGTTCCTACGGTGGCAAGTTTACATTAATTTACTAACTTGTGTCGAGCAAATGAAGCTGCATTAGAAACATCCATTCAGAGGAGAAGCTGCAGTGCAGGCGTAGGTCGACCTAAGCTTACAGGCTAGGCTGTGAAAACATAGTTAAGCTAGCTTTCTATGGAAGCAGCACAAGCTGTTCAAGTGTAACAGACTGACTTTTTCATGTTTCTGTGTAAAAGCATCACAGATAAAGAAACTGTCAGAAGAGTGAATGATGAATGAAAGAATGATTTCTGTCATTTCATCTTTATTACTTAACCATTTAATTAACTGATCAGCTCAGAGGCTACCAGCAGCGACTCTGAGAAAAAAAGTGGCGGAGCATTGTTTCGGCAGCTCCCCCAGCTCTCCACCTATGCTCACCTGACCAGATCTCATTGTGACACACATCACACATCCACAGGAGAGTTTAAAAGATGTATATTAAAAGATCGATCTCGGGTTTTATGAATCGATATTGGATTATTCAATTGAAGACCGCTTTTAATTGAAGAATCGATTTTTTCATCACAGCCCTATTACCGACCATTCAGTCAGTAGCAAGCACAACTGTAAAGTAGTAAATCAATCAGATACCAGATCAGTAAGTAATACAGCCAGACAGGAAGTAAGTCATACACAAATGCAGGTATCCAGTCCAGGGGCAGAGTGCACTGACAAGCATGTGCAAGTTGTCACAGGATGATATTCACCTGCACCTTCATTTCAAAGAAACGAAGTGATGGTAAACATGCGCCAACAAGGCTGAAGAAAACCAGATAAAAGGTTTATATGAAATATAAGAGGGCCTTTAGAGTTGTTGTCACTTCAGGTAATGTGTAGTTCTGTTACTACTGATTAATTCCTGCTCCTCAGAAGCTACCTCAGAATGAAGTTTGCATCAAGTCAGTTAAATATCTGATGCGGTAATGCTTCAATAGTTTCAGTCTTTTTATTTACTATGTTTACTACTTCATTGCTCTTGTTTTTAGGTCAAGTGCTGTTCACTCATTCCACAAGCACTTTTATATTCCTGCTGATATTCTCTTTCTTTTCCTGTCACTCAAATAGATGGTTACAGGTTGCGCCCCCCAAACCCAAGGTATGACATTGTGTGATTGACTGTGATTGGTCTAAAATGCAACATAACGTATTGTGTTGCTGTCCAGAAAAACTTCTTCTCTATGGTTTATTGCATTATTTTTTAAGTGGCTTAATTCTGTATTTTCCTCTTCACATCACTGTTGTCATTGTTGTAACAAGGTTCCTATTTACCTTGTGTCTTCTTTTTCCCACACATTGAGGGAGGGTTCTTTGTTGATTGTTTGGTCGCATCATTTCTGACTGTGTCATAATGTCACATCAAACCCTATATACTACATTGTGCACTATAATGCACACTTTTTTATTTGTGTCACGATTCAGTGTAAAATGTAGGCACTGTATAGGGCTCTTTACACTGTACACTACTTCCTGCTTATAGTTCCACAATGCAATGCTTCATCTTTGATGTCTGCATAGTACAGTGTTGCAGAAATAAGTTATAATAAGCATATTTGCAGTTCTGAATCCTGAGGTCTGTGTTGTTTAAATGGGTTTTTGGTTCAATGACTGAAATAAGCTCTGTGGTTAACACATTTGAGACATTTTCACTTTTCATTCTATGACATAAAATATTTCAGTAAATACCACACGTGTTTTTTTTTTGTTTTTTTTAAGATTTTACGTGTCTTAACTATTAAACATCTTCATGTTAAAAATGGAAACTGATCTACTCACCAGTCCACCTTTACAGCCTTCTTGTGTAGTCACTAACTTTGTCAGAGGAAAGGCTGTTTGAATGGACAGAAATACAGCTGTGGGAAGATCCAGCCATTCCCTGTGAATTGGGATTATCAGTCATTTCGCCACGATTTCAACCAGCCAATCAAGTTGTCCCTGTCATACTTTAAAATCTGTTCTCCTCTCTCCTGTTGTCAGCTGTCATTTCAGCGCGGTTGCTGTGAACGGCATACGTTCTACTCACCCCATGTCACATTTGCATTATTGTTAAGTAGATGTCTTGCACCGATCATTATCCTGTCCCAGAGGTTTTAAATCTCAGCTTGTCATTCTGCAGGAGATTGCTTCTACCATCCTCGGGCAGCAGTCAGCGGCCTAGGAGCACTCTTCTTGGTCTATGCAGCAACTTCAACAGATGAGCAGATTCCTGAGTCGCAACTCTAGGCCGAGCATCATTCAGCTTCTGGCCTCTTTCTCAGCCCCACAAGTTGGCGGTTCAGACGATAGCTGTGATCTGTCTGGTATCCATTTCTTCCTGGACAAGACTCAGCTGCTTCAGCCGGTTCCCCCACCTGTGACACTTAGAGCAGGCACTTCTTTGCAATCTACACTTTCATCACCTCAACAGTTCCTGACTGACTTCATGCAATCTGCGGGGATCGCCTCAGCTCTGCCTCATCTTCAGTGACCGTGGCCGCACACAGGCTTCATGCTGCAGCCCGCCTTATGCCTCATCACACTCATGCTTTGGAGGCTACTCCAAAGGCTACATACAAATAATGTTGTATTGAAGAAGACTCAAATTAGCAATTGACACCATAAACTCACAGGAACGTTTACTGAGGTATAATTAAGCAAGAAGTAGGGCTTTTTCCTATATTTCAATACAATCTGAATTTTCTTGCAACAGTGGAGTGGTCATTTATAGAATGCAAGACTTTTCACTTTTCAGACCCTGAGTCTATGTTCCTTTTTATGTGTGCCTGCTTATATTGTAGACATATATCATTCATCCTAAACCCCTAAAAAATAAAAAAATAGCTATTAAGTGTGGACATGTATGTTTCAATTGATAAGAAAACATACATAAGCATATAGAATTTTAGATGTTTGTTGTGTCAAGAATTTGCAA